CTAGTACCATTATATTTGTGTTTTTAAAGACATATTTAATTCAGAATATTTTAGGTACTATATAGGGAAAGTGATTCATAGTATTAAAATAGAAAATTCCTTTTTTCTCCCAAATTTTAAGCAGTCTGATGACTCAAGTGTATCCTTCTTGCCCCATTTTTAGTTACATGAAGATAACAGTACTTTTCTGACACCACAAAGGAGATAAATGTGTCTCATTTTCTCAATGAGACACAAGAAACAGCCAGTTTCCTAGACGCATGCACTGTTTTCCAGTCCTGTTCATTCGAAAATAACCTACTTGCTGAAGTGCTCCTTTGGATTTGATCACCAGGAAACATGTGCAAGAGGACCAAAGATGTAATCATTACACAATTCTTGGATCCGCATGAGTTCATACTTTGTGAATGAACAATGATAGACATTCAGCTGAAGAACGTGTCATTTCAAATTAACTGAATCTTTTGTGGAAAAAATAAGGAAATACATTTTTACTGCTAAGACATTAAAAATGGATTATTAGTAAAGACTACAGTTGTGATAATTCATAAAATGTACACAGTAGGAGACATAGTTCAAGGAACCCAATAGCTTCAAATTGTAGAGTCTGTCTAGTTGGCTTAATTCAGGTTACTAAACTGATTAAAGGGAATAAGTATATGAATATATTTTTTCAGGTATAACAATAAAAAAAGGCAAATTAAGCAAATAGGAATTTACTTAGAGAAGCCATTTATTTTGTAACCTTCAGTCCAAAAAATGTTCACATTTTCAGAACGTTTTTATACAGGTTGTAAGTTATTTTTACGAAACAAACAAGTAAACAAACTCTTATCTATTATCTCTCACATATATTTTTACGTACCCAGACTATTATGTTAAGACAACTTGCTCTTGAAAATAATGCTCCTGACGGACTAAAAGACTTAGAAATACTTTGAGAATCATCTAAGATTCAATGAGCATGATATACTTTTGTGTTAAAATGCATTCTTGTATAACTGATGACATGTAGAACACTAAGTAAACCAAATAGTTAATTACCTACATCTATCTACTCTAGTTAACTGGCACATTACCATAAGCTTATTAACAAAGATTCGCTTTTCAGTTTTTAAAAAAAAAACACTTGAATTTTATAGAAGTTAAACAGAAAGACATGTTTGGACATTACAACACTTTTAAGTGAGTTACTATTTAAACATTAGAGATTTTACATAAAAATCTGGATTTTTGGTTTCTCCAAAAAACCAGAGGCTCTTGCAGCAGGGGACCTGTCTCCCTCCTGGGACATATTCTGCTGGGACTGAGTAGAGGCTGCCCCCTTAGGCGGAGCAGGTGTTCTCCAGTGTTCACCATCCCCTAGTATCCTTTTGATACTCAAACCAAGGGGCTCAAGCTTACTTGAAAAGCTCCTTGACATTACACTACCTGCCTGGAGGGCCCAGTGGTCTTTAGTCTAATGTAAAAACCTACCTCCACATTTTTTCTTTAAGAGTTTTCCTCACCACCCTACCTCATTTGTGCATCATTTTTTGTTTGTTTGTTTGTTTGTTTGTTTCCACAGAAAGCTGGAATCATCAGGAAGTATAATCAGCTAAGAAACTCAGACAAGTGGAGGGGCTCCCAAGAGTTCTCATGTCTACAAAGAGATTGGACTAAATGACCTCTAGGTTCTCAGCCAGGCATGTGATTTCCCTTGTCTAAGTAACAAATGATCCGAAGGCAGAGCTTTAACCCTGGTGTCCAGCCTTCCCTCCAAAAACAAATGGCTAGACAGGCCCTCCTACCTAGATAACAATTTCATCTGTTTAGATGATTACCTAAGCTTCCCATTTTATTTAGAATAGTGTGAGCAGCTAAAGAATATTAGAACATATTTAAAATTTCTACAAGAAAAATTTTAATTATTATCTGACTTGGACTTTTAGATTTTGGATCAAAGCTACAGATTTTTAATTTCAGGAAGTGGCCCTATATTAGTGCCATTTTAAATTGAAATGTTTTTGCAGGAGCACAGATTTAAAAATTCATACACTAGATACTTTTTTCTTAAGTTAAAGTAGTAGACAACATATAATGAACCATGTCACAGGCAACTGACAACAATGTTAACAGCGTCAAGTGAAACAGAAGGCACAGGTCTTTTACTAGTTTTCATTAGATTTGCTTAGACCAAGTTTTGCAATTCACATTTCTGTTTGCAAGCAATTTCTATTAAATATTTAACTCAAATAACTTAATTTCAATTTAGAAATTAACCCAAATTGACTCAAAATAGAAAAAAAGAAGTCATAGGGCCTGTTTCAGCACTTCTTCTATGTGGCCAAAAATGCTGGGGTCTTCAATTGTAGAAGTTACCTGGAAAGAAATTTAGCGTCCGATGAATGCTCTTCCTTAAACCTCTTCTACTCTCCCTAAACTTAAACGATTATATACAATGTTGTTTTCCCCATCATCTTATAATATTCATATGGAAATTTTCAAAATTAGGGAATTTTGAACCTAATATTTTAAAATTCATCTATAGTCAGTCTTCCAGAGTAATAAAATAAATGATTCAATTAGCAAAACTATTGGTCCTGGAGGATACATTCTCTAGAGTTCCTCTTAGGAGGAACTATTTGTTTTTATAGAAAGAAAATTGGGGGGGGGATGCATTTGCTTATACAATTACTCCTTACTGTTGCATTGCTTTTTATTAGATCTCAATGATAAAAATATGTACATCTATGTTCACATAATGTGCACACAAATTAAAAGGATACATATGCTTGATTCAGCCTAGCATTTCCTAAAATAATTACAAAAATAATTAAACAGAACAGGATAAATAATCAGCATGTATCAATTAGAATATTTCAAATGTCTATTACTAGTCTCAATTGTTTTACTTTCTCATTCACTAATAGCCATTAATGACTATAATGAAGTAAAATATACTTTTAATTCAGTTAGATTGAGTTTCCACAAATAAGTTGAAATTTAACTGACAATTACTAACAGTAAAAATATTTTCCCACCCTGGTTCTTATAATCAAAACATATGTTCTTAATTAACCTGAATTTCTTTCTAAAACCCTCATTCCTACAGAGAGAATGGCTATGAAATTTCCCCCTTAACATTAAAAAATAGTACATTATGTGTTTTCTAGGGATACAATTCATGCTTGAGAATCAATTTTAAGAACTTTGCTAATGCCAAAAAAATAGATAAAAGCAATTCAGAACCCAGTATTAAATATCCTTGATAATTTACCTTGTATGGCTTGCCGTTGACAAGGGCAGATAGAGCTGATCGGGGTATTTTGCCAGATCTAGTTTTAGGTAACTGTTTGACAAACACAGCATTTCGAAAAGCAGCCACAGGGCCAATGTTCTGTCTAACGTGTTTCACAATTTCTTCTAAAACTTTTTCCTCTGTTACATTTATATCTAGGAAGAAAGTTCAGAAGGTAAGCACTATATTAACCTTAATTAATCATTCAAGGCCCAAACAATTGGAGGATACAAAGATCTCTCACCTTTTTTCAACACACAGAGTGCTAAGGGGACGTGACCTTTCAAAGGATCTTCCTTGCCAACAACAGCACAGTCTGCCACAGTACCATGGGAAAGGACTGACTGTAGTAAGAAAAGGCATCCATTTAGAATATATATACATATGTATATATGTACATAATTTCAACTGGGAAAAAATACATGTCAGGGAACCCAAAAATCCATAGCTGCCTGCCCGAAAATTTACCAGTAATTCACATCATTACTACTGAGGTGAATGGTTAGAATCTCCACGGTAGTTGCTAAAGGTTGACAGTAATTAAGATAAATTGCTCGGCTTACCTAGAAACTAAGGAAGTTATTTCTTTATCTCAATTGTTTATTAATGAAGTCAGAGAAATTGTGTAGTGGTTACCATATGTAAACCAAGTGCAACAGGTCTCTGCAAACAGGTAGCTTCACGAAGATTTACCCTTAATGCTAGCTACCATAAGCACACCTTTCAGAGGAATCCAAGGCTAAGCAGCTATTTTATTTTTGCATCTGTTAGCAAACAATGAACAGACCATTCCATTCCTTTAGTGGTCACCCATCCAGAGATGATTTTCCAGGATTTGAAAGAAGCAGCTGGGCATAGAGAGAAGCCCCAACATCAGATAATCACCACTGTTGAGGAACCATTTCCAATTGCTCACCCTAAATGCCTTAAGGAGCATAGCAGATATCTACTGGAATCACAAGAATCCACAAAGCTGAGTAACCCCATGAAATACAGATACTTTGAGTTAAAAAAAAATTCTGCTTTGATGGGACTTTTAAGAAATACATGCTCAAAAAGTCCTTTTCTGAGAGATTAATATTAATTTCAGTGACTCCAAACTTCTAATGGTTAGAGAAAACAGCAAGCAAACTTGTGACCAATATCACATTTGGCAGTGCTTATTCTTTCTTTTTTTCATTGATTCACTCAACAAATATTTACTGAATGCCTCCTGTGTTGCAAGCACTGCTTTAGGTTCAGTGGTAATCAAAAATAGGCAGAGTATTGTCTCAAGATACTTACGATGTAGTAGAGGCGACAAATACTAACAATCATGAATATTTAATTATTACAACTGTCTAAATACAAGAGTGGTAAGGGAGGAAATAACTTGGGCTATTTATATGACAGATATAGCCAAAGCAACCAACTTGGCAGAAGGATATGGTCCTCAGAGAAATGTTTTCTTAGGAAATGACTGAGCAGATTTGAAGAATAAGGAGGTATTGATCAGGCAAGGAAGAGGGGGTGAGGTAAAAGCTTTGTGGAAGAACTGCACAGGTGGCATTCATACCTGAAACAAACCAGTATGGCTGGAAAATTGAGAGTAGAAAAGAGTGAGAATGGTGCAGGTGAGAATGGTGCAAGAGGGAATGGAGCTACAGGGGTAGATGAAGGCTGTGCTATGGAATTTCAACCGTTATTTTAGCACCACTGGGAAAGCAATAACGCATTTTGAGGAAGTGAGGAGATGAACTATTGGAGTGGATTTTTTAAATAGACCTTTTTTTTAAAAGTAGTTCTAGATGCACAGTAAAACTGAGCAGAAAGTAGAGTTTCCACATGCCCCCTGCCTTCACAGACACATAGCCTCCCCCATTATCAAAATCTTGCACCAGAGTGGTACAGTTGCTATAATTGATGAACCAACATTAACACATCATTACCACCCTCATCTATAGTTTACATGACAGTTCACACGTTTTGTATATTCTATGGGCTTTGACAAATGCATAAGATATGTATGCGCCCTCACAGCATCACACAGAATAGTTTCACTGCCCTAAATACCCTCTGTGCTCTGCTCATTCATCCCTCCCTTTCTCCTAACCCATGGCAACCACTGAACTTTATACTGTCTTCAAAGTCCTTTTCCAGAATGTCATATAATTGGAATCATTGAGCAAATAGCCTTTTTCAGATTGGATTCTTTCATTTCAGAGTGGATTCTGAAAATCACAACCTTACTTTAGTTTCATCATGGGGAATAATTAAAGGATTGTTGAAGGTGAGTGTCACTTTATGCAGGGAAACCACCTGAAAGGCTACTATTATAATAGACTAAGGTCATAGTAGTGAGTATAAAGATTTACAGTTTCTTTAGAGGCAAAACAGACAAAATTTGATGATAAATGGGACATAGGGCACGAATAAGGCAGAGGGGTTAAGGATAATTCTGGGGTTTTGGCTAAAGCAGCTCGTTGGTGGTGGTGCCGTTTTCTAACCTAGAAAATGCTAGCGAGGACCAGGCTTAGGAGGAAAGATCACGTACTAAGTCTTGGAGTTGTTTCATCAAGGTGCCTTTGAGACAACTAAGGAGAGGCAGTTGGATCTGAGTGACTTAATCTGCAGATGCACATTGGATATCATTATTGTATAGATAGTAAAGGAAGGTATAGACTTTGATGAAGTTATTTAGGGAGAAAATAGGGAGAAGAAAAGAGTGAAAGCCTAAAGGAACTCCAACATCTAATGACCAAATGAAAAAAGAAGAAGCTGGCAAAGTAGAATAAAAAGGCATAGCCAGAGAGGTAGGAAACACACACACACACACACACACACACACACACACACACACATACACACACACACACTCAACATAATCTGGTACATGCCACTTTCAAATCCCAAACTTTCCATGAAGATTTTTTTTTTTTTAATTAAGCCAAGTTGAAAATGAACTTTATTGTCTCTGAATTCCTGAAAGACTCAATGAAGTTCTAGAATGTTTGGTACAAATGCAGTATAATACCTCACATTGCCCCTAATTAAACATACAAACCAACATTTCTCCTAATGATAAGCATCCAATTTGAAGTATTGAGTTGTCAGGGTTAAAATCCATGTAGTTTTGACTCCTGCATTGCTAAGGATAGTATATGTTAAAGAAATGATTTTTGTATTATATGTTTTATCAAATTATTTGCTGAGGTAAAGATGTTCACTCCCTTTTTCCCATTAGTTGAGCCTAACTAAAAAGCTTCTGCTAA